AATAATCGCAATTAATCGCAAGTGAATGACAAAAAGTAAACCTCACTTGCAATGTCTGAGTACATATGGCTTTTCGTGTTCATATACACGCTTCACTAACGCTGTTGACCGCGTACAGAGTCAGATGACGCGAACCTGTTGACAAGCAACCAGAAGCAACACCTGTGACATCAGAATCCATGTAATAATCTGTCGTTCTATATCACAGCGCAACCTCGTCAACTTGATATATACACGAAGCATAAAATACATCTACACGTATGTTCCGAAGCTCAGACCAGGATCCGAAGATATTACCAAGATTATATGTCACAATTCCCGAATGCAGATGTCTCGAATGGGAAATAGAAGTGTGCAGTGAAAGAATAAACTTGTTAGGATATTAAGCGTGCATAAATAAATAAAATATGTTTTCTCGCCCGCACATGTACGAAAACATATCAAAACTATGAAAAGATTGAACGTTTACTTAAAATTTCATATATTAAGTATTGTTTATATTGTCAAAATACTTTCCTTTCTCAGTAATAAGGCAATGACGACTAATATCGACGATAAAAAGTATGACGCCTTTCATTTTTACGATGTAATTAATACGCATAAATAAATTAATAAATAGTGATATTAAAAAGGTCAATATCAGAAATGTTATCAAGAAAAGAAAACAAGAAAGAAGATCCGCATTGTATTCACATAGTAATCGTTTTCTCGCAACTTTTAGAATTTCGATGTAATTAACAAATCTCTAATTTTCTCTTAAAGAATATTATCCAAGTTCCCGAGACATTCGCGTTCAAAGCTCCAACAATCTAAAACTATGAAGGAAAAATGTATCCCGTTTTTTTTATTCTCAAAACAAAAATGGACAAACTTTACACCGACAAAATTATTATTTCTAATAGCATTCGAGACTTAACTTATAAAAGAGCTTTGCATAAGCTTTGCATAAACTCCCATGTATAAATAATCCGTAATTTAGAAAACTCCTGGATTCATTCTCCCCCACAATATTACAATATTACCCGCAATATTACCGTTAATGTTTAACACAACGTTTTCGCATGATATCCTTCGATTTACGGCACAGTTCGAAGTTAGATACACGGGCGAGTCGACAAGGGAAGTTTCGGCACACTCGTGTACCAGAAAGCTGGTAATCTCGTAGAAGAGGATATACAGCGGAATACAGCGGAATACTTGGCGGGCTGTCATATTATCGTTTCTGCATATGCATAAGCGCAATGGCGGTGTAATGCAGCGTGTATATCTAAAAGCGCCTCGTACTTTCTAAACACACGCGGCGCACGACACGGTAATTTCCAATAACATCAGCTATTCTATATTCGCGGTACACTTTCGGCATTACCCGCGCGAGAGTAATTACGCTATATTAGCGCGCCCGTGTCGCGGTGCTGCATCTTTCGCGTGACAGTTAAAGACCATATTTCCATTACGACTTCCTCCGTAAAACCCGTTAACAGTGTCGTAAAATATTATTACGGAAAAGGACAAGCTGAAAATTAGCTTACGCGATACACCCGCGAAAATTTTACGAAGTATACTCGGAGAATACCCGGGGCGAGCCGGGAACCGCTGAGGGCATTGCGGTGTACAGATTTGCGGCATTACTGGGCATTACTAGGCATTTTTTGGGCATTAGACCTGGCTGGGGCATTATAAAGATATAAGATAAAGTGATGCCCACTGGGCATTAGTGGGTATTGGTGTACACGCACCGGCATAAATGCTGTCCCTATCCTTGTGAGGTGCACACACACAACTAGAGTCCCTGTAGTTGTGTGCGTGCACCTCACAAGGATAGGGACAGCATTTATGCCGGTGCGTGTACAAGATTTTGGTCAGCGGTTTCTCCCTTGACCCGCGGACCATCGCGCCCTCGTTCCTCTCGCCTTTCAAAGCCGACCGTGCGAGAAATGCATCGCAAAGGACGATTTATTCTCAAGCCGCTCGTCTCCTGTCGGTATTCCGCAACCGATAGAATCGCATTTTCGGAATACTTTATCACTGCGACATACGTAGCGCGCGTCGCGCGTCGGCGCGGTCGTAGGCATTGTCCAATACATTCCGAATGAGCCTGCCGGCGGGCGAAACTGCCCGGCCCACGACGCGATAATATTTTTAACACATTCGGTCATAAAAATTCCATCTAGCGCCGACGCTCGACGCCGGACATCTCGATCCCGCGGTGTCGCCCGGCCGGCGACCCACGTTGACCGACGCAATTCGGTTTACGACGGTGCTTCGGTGTGCTCGCGACCAAGTCCGTTACACACGGGTCCGCGTTGACCGGCCCGAGGGCGACCAGCGGCGCGAGCAAACCTTACCCGCGGGATCGACGACACGTGGACGAACGCGACGCATTGTTGTTTTTGGGGAGCAAACCGCGATGTAAATCTGGGGACTACCGGCCGTGGTTTCCGCGACCGGGACCGGATTGAATCCGCGATCGCGAAAAAGTACGAAACGACGAGCGGCGCCGGAAGGCGGATGCGGAAAATCGTTTCGCGCGGCTGAAAAACCTCAGCTGTTCCCGAATGGAACACGGGGGACACGCGGACTCTCGCGACACCTGTCCGCGGACCTTCGCCGATTCGGTCCTCGTTCAATTCCACCCGCGACTTGACACTCGTGTAATTAAAGTCGTCTCGAGTAAACAGGAAGCCACCGAACGAGGCAATGATAACGACAACGTGGTGACAGATGCATCTCCCGAGGAAAACGAGGTGTCGATAAAAGGACGTGATCAATGTGCTTTCATACGTGACAGTCTCTTCACGATTTATTTGCCTAAGAATAAACTGTATTGTCAGCTAATTAAGAATTCGTCAGCCTTTCCCCGCCAACGAGACGTAATTCAAATTTCCTGCTTCACGAGGATTTCATTTGCATGAAATTTTCCCTTGATTCAAGACCCAACGGTGTACCTCCAATTTTGCGATAAGTGTGGCTGAATGTTATATATTATATTTCAGGGAATTCGTCCTCGTCATCCCACCGATATCGCCATCGCGGGCCGATATTTGATACGTGCTTTATGTCGATAATGCGACAATATTACGCTCGCAATGCGACGAGATATCGCGCCCATTATAAATGCCCATTATAAATATTCGATCGATAGTACGCGTCCGATAGCACGCCGACATATAAATGACCGTTCGCCCGGCATTTTAATGCCGCTGTTACGGATTACAACGCGCTGAGATTGCTGCGAGCGCGGCGCCGATGTAATTTCCTCCCGTCGCTTTATTCATTGTTTGCCGCGCGCGCGCGGGACACGCACGGTTCGTACCGCTCGCGATCGAATGGATGTTCGCAATACGCGGACCGCCGGCCATTAACCGATCCGGTCGGCTCTAATCTGAACTAATCATACACGTGTATGGTAACGTAATCTCCAATACCCTCGGTCTATATTGAATGTAGATGTAAACGCCAGAGGGAAAGCCAGAACCTCCGCGCTTTGGTGCAAACACGTGTGCGCCGACTGCTCAGATGACTTCTTGTAATAATGAAGAGGCAAACGCGAATGTTGGCGACGCCTAACGTCGAGCGAGACCGCGGGCCACTTGGCCGAGCTAATTGTACCTTTTCGCGCTAAAGCTCGGCGATCAAGCCGCGCGTTAAGCTCGCTGAGGCAAGTTCGCGTTTAATTGGGAAAAAGGTTGTATTAAAAAAATCCTTTAATATCTCTCAAACATAATTTTTTCGCTGAAATCCTTTGATACGGACCGGCACAAAGCTTTCGTTAAAAGTGCAAATTTAAATTGCATTAAAAATGCGCATCGTCTTGCGGAAGGCAGATCATTGTAAAATCTACGCTGAAAGAGCGTATGATAATTACGCGGTACTCGTATTCGTTAACAATGAAATTTCGGTGAAACACATATATGCACGCTCGCGCCCACATTGTACTTGCACGCATGGATACGCGGATGTTATATTATATTTCAAATATCATATTTGTATTCAAACGTAACGTCGTAATTTCGACGAATAAACTAAATAGCATGTGTCAAGTTTTGAGTATTATGCATGCGTTTAAAAGCAAGCCATTAGTATTTGCGCAAATTACTAAATACGATAATTACATCAGTCTTCCTTTTGCGCAATAATCATTTTCCGTTCACTCAAATGTTATAAAATTCGAAGCGTCCAAGAGAGGAAAGATGTTCGCTAATTGTACATATAATGCGCGCTATATTGAAATTTATTATTAATATAATGAAGGAAAAGTAAAATATTGAAAACATTAATTTTCCCGAATGTGCATACAGAAATATATTTTATCAATATATCATGTTGTCTGTACAATAAGAATTTAATTTTTTTCACTATATGGGAAGTAAAATTATTTTGGTAATTTTATATGCAGGGAATCCTTTTCAATATTTTATGACGCAAATATTGAATATCTTTAATCTCTACATCGGAAATGTACTACAACAAATCTTTAATCATCGGGGAATTATACTTTGCAACTTTTGCGATAAATTTTTATTAAATAATATCGGTTTTTAAATTCTCGAAAATGACTAGGACACTCAATACGCTCGTGATTTCTCCACTTCCGAATCTTTTCAATTGCAAACTCTACGTGAACTTTTACCGAATTCACTGGTTAACGAATGTCCAATTGACTATCCATTCAAAACTAATAGCTCGTTAAAACTAAAAACGATTTGACAGCCATCTCCAGCTAATGAACGTAGAACAAGAGAATTAAGAGATTGCCAAAGATTTAACGAACATTACTTGACTGAAGAAGGAAATATATATCTTTCTCTCTCCTCTCTCTCCGGCTTCTTCTCTCGGTGCAATTTGTGTAAGTTGCATCCAAGATATCGAAAGCCGAGCCGATATTTTGAGTTAATCTTTTAAATCGCTTCCAGTAATAAGTAAAATAATTAAATGTCAGAGGTAGATTTACATACGTAATTTTTTTTTAATTAAGTGAGTACCCTACTGAATTTTTATAGACTGTGCGATCAAAGGCGGATCCACGGAAGAGAGCGACCTGATTGAGCCCCACGCGGGACCAAAAGTCATCAAGGGTGTTTTAGCGCAAACTGGCGGAAACGCGCTGCTGCCCTGCCAATTCAACAGTCCTGGAATAGTAAGTACACATTGCCGGCAACACGCAAATATGTACGTTTAATATGGATACACGCGTCGTACAGCGTGCGTATACCGTCATCGTACGGTGCACATGCATTATACGCGATGCACACGGAGGGCATTCGGCTTCTGTGACGCCATATCGTATGCATGTACACAGAACTGCGCGATATTGTATATTATTTACAGCTGTCACAGAGCCTACGTTGTGTCTCACGGTACATATAAGTGCGAGCCTGGAAGTTAGACAAACACAATAATCGCAATGCACAAATCATGAATAGTTTCGACAATTTCTGCCAATGGTAATCTAGAAAAGTTTAGCTTCTTGCTATCGCATAACGGATTTCATCGAGTTAAAAACGTGTACAAACGTCTTCGCGGAAATAAATAAAAACGTTATCGCATGACATTAACGAATAAATGAAGAGAGACATAAAACTTTCGATCTCACGCGATTGTCTCCATTTCTGATAATTTGCGAAGTATCGTGTTCTCCATCGTTCCACTGTTCACATTATAAAACTGCCAAAAATTACATTATCCCTTACGGACGAATTAAATGTGTATACACACACTGAAAAAAATTTCTGGTTGAATATGGACGAATCAGATAATTCCTTTAGGATTTACCAGAATTCCTGTAATCCTACAGAAATTCTGGTAAATCCTAAAGGAATTCTGGTAAATCCTAAAGGAATTATCTGATTCGTCCATATTCAACCAGAAATTTTTTTCAGTGCAGGGTTCTAATTATAGAAATACAAATTCCCAATACTAGCGGGGCTTCTGCTAAATTAACGGGCATCATCTGTTGAGTCCACAAAGTTATTGCCCTTGGAGTGAAATCTGTTTAGTGTAAAATTCATTAGACGATGTAATCGTTGCGAAAAGAAGATTTATGATAAAATTTTGGTGTTGAAAACCTGCTATCTCGTATTAGAAGTCTATCTCGCGATAGGGGACTTTCCTCTGCTGAATTAAGCCTTCTTCAAAAATATATCGCCAAACTCGCGGGCTCCCGTCGTACCCCGCGGGAAGTACAAATTTTCGCGTGCAATTTCGTTCCTCGTGGAAACGGGTCGAGTACAGGATGGTTTGTCTATAGGGAGGAAAGCTAGAGTTCTCGGCGCACCGACCGCTCGTGGTTGACGCTCTTGCAACATTAATGCCGCGAAATTGCATCCCGGCTGCAGGAAGGGCCGCCTTTTCTTCCACTTTACCCCCTTACTCAGCCCTCGCGATGACCTGAGGAGAACCAGGCCGATTACGATACGGCGAAATGCAATAACGGCGTAGCGCTGAGAACAGACGCGCGGATTACCGGAGTCTTTGGAAGATCAATATTTATTGCCGATATCACGAGATGGGCGAGATTATTAAAGATGCAGCAAGAATTCCGCAAGATTGTTGAACGTAAACTGAGAGGTAAAACGATTTAATAAAAATCAGAAGCCTGATGAAGCCGAATTTGTCATTTTGACAAAGATCTCAGGTTGATTTTGGAAAAAGGTTAAAGGGCAAACATTAATTTTCACCTGTTTGTGGATCAGAAATTCTTGTAACAATATTTTAGTTAAATTTAAGCGCGAAGATTTTCTCCGAGATGTAAGACGTAGGATTGACAAACTGCAAGTATGAATTGTGAAAGCAGAGTAAAATGAGAGAATATAAAATTGTTGCGCGAACATCCTACGCTTATTATTGTTGCATCTGCTTGCATAATGCCAGCGCAAACGCGATGCACCTCGCAATTCCGTTTGGAAATTCCGCCTGCGAGGCTTGCGGCTTAAGTGGAATATTTGTGTTTATAATACAGCAAACAAAAGAGCGATTAGACTTGCGGTTGGCGACCACGCTGGAGGCTATGGTTATTATTTCACAAGAAATCTTAGGACCTTTGTGCAAAAACGCTGTTTAATGAACAATAACGATGAAGTCGAGTCAAAACTTGAAATTGCCTTGGCAACGTTAGATATGATATTCTTTTACAGTTTGATAAAAAGTAGCATCGGTATTTATACGCGTAATATCTTTCTACCGCGAGGCGTTTAACATTTTCGTGTATGAACACGTGGTGGAATTTTACGACGATCCGTCAATCAATAGACGATGGCGACCCAGTTTATTTCCGATCTCTTTCCTCGCGCCGTTTGCGAACGCGGACAATTAGAGAGGACCGAATTTAATGATAATCGTCAGCGCGTCAACAGAAATGTCGCTGTGTAATTGTCAGTGCGACCACTGTCGGCCGATCACAATTAGACCTGGCTGCAGGGTAAATTCAACAGCTATGCCGATTCAACGCGGTTAGCCGTTTGTCAGAGGCCGTCAAACTGCCGCGGTCACGGCGAAAAAAAGGGGGGAAGAGATCCGAATTAATTTCCTCTGCTCTCCCCGACGATGAATGCTACCGCGCGCCGCACGATGTTGTTCCGGCGAAATAACGCAGGAGCAATTAATGCGATCGGAATTTGTTCGAAAGTTAAAAATCGAGCCGATCGCTTATACGAGACGAGGGCAAATGATTGAAGAGAGTACGCGCGCAATCTGTAACACACCTCGCCTATTCGTCGGACAAGGATAGATTACTGCGGTAATCAATTTTGCCTGAAAGGGCTCGATATCATACACACGTCGCAACAAAATAATGAGATCACCGCATCGAAATTCGCCCGGCGATCACGCGTAACCAAGTAATAACTCTCGATTAAAACGTGTTAAATTGTCAAGAAATGAAGCCCGATTATATATCGGACGATTTGATTGCATTGATTGCTCATGTATCCGCCATTAATCTCGTGAAATTATATTTCTATTATTCATCAGCGGAGAAGGTGGTATTACGGAACAACATGTCCAAGTCCAGTTTTAATATCTTACTAATTCCCAGCGTCGATTAATGTATTTAACGATACGTATTAATCGGTTGAAAATTTAACGGTACGCAGCGCGCGGTGAAACTTATAATGGATAACGAGATAAGAGATCATTTTATGAAACTTTTATTCCAAGTAACATTTGCGGAAAATATCTCCAAAATAATTTGCTGGTAATAGAAAATCGTACGAAGCGACGATAATTCGAGAAACACTTAATCAATTACACAAAACTATTATTTCCATGAAAATTGTCGCGGAAGAAAAGGAAGAAAGAAAAATTTCTTGACGATTGTCGCAGATGTATCGCGCTGTTACAGCAAGACTTACATTATTAATCCCGATTCTCTCTCATGTCTCACGTGCCAGAAGTCAGGCATAACCGCGCGATCGATAAGGCATGACAAAAAGCTAACAAGAAGGGAATGAAAAGTAGATACCACTGGAATGACAATGCCACTCCTGCGGTCTTTGAAGTGCCAAATTCCGGCACTTCATTCGACGCTAGCGAGGAAATTGCATGAGAGAATTGCGTTTCCTTTGTCCTTTAAACCAGAGGGTATCGCGGGGTTGTGCCTTTGACCTGTCGTTGACCATTACCATTCAGGCACAGGATACGTCCAATTGAGTGCCCGCTCCTGTTCGCTGTTGTGACAAGTCTCGCGCCCACTCTCGGTGGTCGGCGAGTTATGTCTGCACACTGAATGACACGTCATACGATACGCTTAATGTATATCATATAATGTATTTTTAATATAATCTTATAAGTGTCATAAAACATAACTATTATATTGTAATCAATAATCGATAAAAAGTATAATATAAGAATGTTATAAAGCATGATATAAAATACTTAAAAAAATTTTTTCTGTACTTTAATAAATCATTGCGTGAAGAATATAAGTTTCAAATCGCAGAATCGTTTGCTACAATATTAAACGTATAGCTTTAAATTGTTTTATAGTGCTTTATTTAAATTAAAGTATTGTTCCGTATTATACACGAAACATAAATTTCATCGCATGGTTTTTTATTGCTACTGAAGAAAACGATATAATTTTTTCCAACATGGTATTGGAATATTAATAAAATTTGTAAACAAGTAATATTTAAAATCAAGAATAATTGAAATAGGGTAAAATAAAATCTTACTTCGTTTTAAATAACAGGATATCTGATATTTAAATTTTGCAAAATATAAAAATACGGATTATATAATGAGGCTTTAAAGAAAAAAATAGAAAAATCTTGCTTAAATCTTGAACTCCCTAATAAATTTACAAAGACTTAAAAAGTAGAGTACTTTCGATAATTTTACGTTAAATAATATTGAAAGATGAAGTTTCTTCAAGTACTAGCTATGTAAGTAAAAAATCTCAGAGCAGATAGGAACAAAAAAAATCATAGATAGGTGCTGTTAGGTTTAAAAATCTTTTATACATCAACTCAAATGTTTTCTATGAACAAATTGTAGCAGAATTGACATATCTGCCCTAGGTAACGAAGTCGAAGCGTGCCGCATCTAATCCGACGTCAAACGCGTCGTATAATATCAGTAGACATCATTTAAATTGCATTGGGCATCTTCAGTCAGATAAATTGCATTGGACATCTTCAGTCAGATATCAGTATTACATCGTTCGTCAAACTACTAAGCCAGAAATGATCCAATTACGCACGAGAACGGCAAATAAATTGCACGTGGACGTGCAAGCAGCTTTACGTTCGGTGACAGTCGCTGATATAATTACAGTTTAAGCGTCGGTCCCATCATCGACTATTAGTACGGAAACAGAAATCGCAAACGGAATCTGGATCTGCTTTCTAATGCAAACGCCACATCCGGAATGGACCAGACAAATCGAGTTAAGCGTAATTCTTGCCAATTTATCGACATGTCAATTTGAAACTTCCGACAAAATCCTCGTGGAAGTGCCTATCATTTAACCAATACTTTATCATATCTTATCGTATCTTAGCATTTCTTTTTTATTCAAGATGTATGGAACATTTATGCGAAAGATTGATCGTCGCGACATTGAAGAGTTCTTAAATAAGAAAAACTTGATTTTAAATGATGTCCTTATTTGTGTCACATTAGGTGAATATTTTTTACAAA